TGTACCATCCAATAGCCAGTTTGGTCTAGTGGTAAAGGCATCAAGCTAGAGAAACCAAGAGACGGTGAATTCTAGTCCCACCTTAGGCATGAAAGCTGGCTGGGTGACTGGGGCAATCACCAGGAGAAGGTAAGTTCTAGCCCTATCTTAAACTATGAAAGCCAGCTGGAGACTTTGGGTCAGTCCTTCTCTCTCAGCCCACCTCACAGGGCTGGTGCTGTGGAGAAAATAAGAGAAAGAAGAAGCGTTGTGTTATGTGTACAAATAATAAAGGCAGAGTGTAAATAAATAAATTCTGGCTGTGATGCTACCATAATCAAACAAAAGGAGAGCGTCTTGGTCTTTCATCTCCACTCCATAATAGGGACATGGAAAATTCTTAGCAAGCAAGAACAGGGGATTCAGTTCCATAGGGGCAAAATGCAGTAGCATCCACTGTAGATTTAGTATGCATTGCATAACAACTTTATAGATTTAGTATGCATTGCAGCTGAAATAGTGGGGTGGAAGGAAGGAATAGGAATATTTGTTATGGGTGAGTAGAGGGAGTGAAAGCAAAGGGTTGTGCTTCACTCAGCCTGGGCAAAAATGGAATGAGTGCCCCCCGGGAGCTGTAAGATTTGAACGGAGCAATGCTTTCAGAAACAGTGAAAAATAACAGGGCAAAGAAAGTTCATGTCTTAATGGGTCATAGTAGGAGCAACAGGATGATACGGTAATTATGGAAGTCCCTGAACAGCAGAGAACAGAACAGCCCAGGGTGAAAACACAGGGCAAGGGGGACTACTGAGGAACCGGTAGAGGACTGAAGACAGCTCTGCTCACATGGATCTGATGGCTGCGGTCAAGAGAGGGGCTCTTTGAAACTCCACTCCCAATCACGGAGAAGACAAGGATCACCATATGTTTGCTCCAGGCAGAGCCTCCCTGAAAAGAAGTCACACAATAGCAATTTCCACTGTGTTCAAAAGTTGGTCATCTCCTGACCAGCAGAGAACAGAGCAGATCTGATGGAATGGATTGCCCCGAGGTAAGGGAGGTGCATTTCAGAGGAGCAAGAGACCACTCAGTCCAGATATTGTCAACTCTACAAATGAGCATGGCTGCAGCCATGTTTTCTTCTCATTCTAAGTTGCCACATAGGAGGGGGGTTGCCTAGGTGCTTAGTTAGTCAAAATATTTTTTTGTCCCATGGGAACCGAGGTTATCGGCTGCTCCCAAGACTAGAGACTGGGAGTTGCATAAAAAGCCCACCAAATAATCATATTGGGGAATATAGTAAGATTGCACAGTTTAATGGGTGGGACGTTTAACTTTGTATTGGGAAATTGTTACTTGTGTATCCAGACTTGGTTTCACTTTTGACCATGCCGATACTTTGTAACTAATAAACATGTTCTTTGAGGAATTTGCAAGCCTCGGAGTTCTGCTCTATTCGTCTCTTCTGTTTGAACCATGACAGATATCACGTGTGAGAGAAACGGGTGAAGGCAGCTCACTTCACTTGTAAGATATACTTTTCTTGTGAGATACATTCACTACGTGAGTGCTAAATTTGGCAAGGTTTTGCCTATAGGTGTGAAATATTTTTTTTAAAAAAAAACTCAACTTGGAAGAATCACCATTTTATATTTTTGGTTTTGAGCTTGACATCAATCTTGCTATGCAAGAAATCTGATATCTAGACTATGGCCATTAAACTACAAAGCTTAACACTGCCCAACACATAGGCATATAGACAAATCAAAAAGCTAAAAAGGAAATGAAAAGACTAAAACACTTTCTCACCAGCAATCAACACCCAGATAAGCAGAGATTAATAACAAGCTTAATACTAGACAACCATCAAACTGTAAAGAGAAGCCTAATCAAGAAATCATCAAGGTCCTTCATCCTGGTGGGGAATTTGGGGTAAGAGGGAATATTTAACCTGTCCAACTTGCACTGTGGCACTGTGTTTTTCTGCCCATTTCTGTTCCTTTGGCAAAAGTCCATATTCTGTATATCCTATTCTCCAAGCTGCAGCTGAATTCGTGGGCTAAACCTTGCTGACAGCTGCAGAATTAATCTTGGGTTTATTATTTCTCATCTTCCTTCCTCAATTCCCGACTCTTTTGTATGCACAGCCAATCCATCCCAAAACGCAGGAGTTTTCTCTCCAGCAATGTAGCACATTAATCCCAATGAGAGCAATGGCTCCTTATACATATTTTATAGACAACAAATGAACTCATAAAAATTGTATGGACTGTACACATTATGAAAAGCTACTGTTTGATAATTTAAAGATGGCTTTGACCTGCAGGTTCCACTTGAATATGACCAGGCAGCGTGGTTTATCAGTTTTGCTGTTGTGGAGGGCTCTTTTTTCATCCCAACCCCCTCTTCTCCAGTTGTAGGCAGAAAATCTACCCATATTCCGTCTCAGATATTACAGTAAAGCCTAACACCAAATGAAACTCTTACATTCTGGCTTAAGTATGAATGATCTTTGTGAAATGGAATTTCTGAGATGGACAAAGCCAAAATAATGTCATTATTTAAGAAGACATTGTTTTACTACAATGAGAAAGTTGACCAGGCCAACTTTGAAGATCTGTTCCACCTGCTGCTTAGATATTAACAAGCTAATAGATGTCAAGATTCTGGTTCTCTCCCTTTCTTTAAAAAAACAACTTTATTTTTATACCAGACCTAGATTTCAAATAGGACTATCTTTTTATAGCCAGAACACATGATCACCCTTTAGCTACTAAAGGTACCTTTCATAGACGTTTGCCTCTTGTGATCTGCTGTAGCTTATTAAGGCTTTTTGTTGGTCTCCAGGGCCTTCGGTACTTTGGCTAGAGGTGATTAGAAAAACTCAAGGGGGGTATAGGTGACTCATCGTAGACTAAAATGTATTGAGAATTACCGTGACGATTCAGTGTTGGAGTAAGACTTGGGAAATTCAGGTCAGATATTTAATAACAAGTGATTTGGGACTGATCGCTCTCTCTTCAGCCCAATCTTTTTGTTGTAGAGGAAAACCAGAGTAAAAAGTTCAGTAGTCCTCTACTTACATCCATTTATTTAATGAGTATTCAAAGTTGGTCACTGAAACTGTTGATTCTTAAGCAACACTTATGTACACACACATAGAGAGAGAGAAAGAGAGAGAGAGGGAGGGAGGGAGAGAGAGAGAGGGAGGGAGACAGAGAGGGAGAAAGGGAAAGAGAGAGAGGAAGGGATAGAGAGGGAGGGAAAGAGGGAGGGAGGGGGAAGAGAGAGAGGGAGGGAGAGAGAAGAAGGGAGAGAGAGAGGGAGGGAGAGAGAGAGAGAGAGAGAGAGAGAGAGAGAGAGAGAGAGAGAGAGAGAGAGAGAGAGAGAGAGAGATGAATGTAATGTTAGCATTTTGGATCAGATCTACAGAGTTTTGCACCAAGCTGATCTGAATTAACAGTGGCATCACCAGTCTAGAAGCATAAACTGTTTACTGATGACCGGGTGTTTTGTTACTTCACATTGTGTTGTTTGTCCATCGATTTCGATGAAGACCTTGACATCTTATGGATTGTGGGCCATCAGCGGTGTGTCCGAAGATGGCTGATGAGACCGATGTTAGCACGGAATGTTCTGCCACATACTGAACAGAGAAATGTGGACACTATTGCTTCAGCATTTGCAGCTCTGGCTTTACGGAGTGCTCGCTTCTCTTTTGCCAAGATTGTCCTTCTGTGTTCATATGTCTGGCAACCCTGGTAAACCAGGGTACGCCATGTCGGTCGATCATGCGCCAGAGATATGGTGATAGGGGAGATCATAAAGATGTTACTTGCTTGTTCTCCTGAGTGCTGCAATTATTTATTTAGCATTTAACATTATAGGATTCTCCCTTTTGCAGAACAAAAGGAAGATGATAGAGGGGATAAAAGGCAAATGTGAGGAGTGAGTATTACGTAATGTTGCATAGTAAAAGAATCAACGGGAATCCTACTAGGGACAGTCATAAGTGCGGAAGAGTTTAATTGAATTGAAACTGATCCCAGCTCAGGCTGTCTGAGCATGGTTGTTTTCTTGCAGATATTTTGTTACCCAACTAGGTAATGTCAACAGTGTTTGTCTATACACCCTGCAAGAGAAAGAAAATGTGAGACCAGCAACCCTTGATTTTGTCTATTTCAAATTCAATTTGTAGAGGGTGTTTTCGGTTACGTTGATCACATGATCTCTCCAAATGGGATTCATCAGTTGTGTGTGGTCAGGGGTGTCAAACTGTGGGATACAAACCCTCCAATAGTAACTGATTTCATAGACCTTTGCACTTTAGATGATCACATAAAGCCTTAGAAGTTAGCCTGCTGCTCTCACTGGTTGCAGGAAGGAATAAACACAGAAGTTATCAGAAGGAAATGCTGTATGTAATCTTTTTTCTCTCAGGCCAGTGTTTCCCAACCATTGCAATATTCAGGCGTGTGGATTTCAAATTCTAGAATTCCACAGCCAGCATGGTCATTAAACAGAATTCTGGGAGTTGAAGTCCACACATCTAAAAATTGACATGGCTGGGAAACATAACCTTAACCTGTCAGAGAAGAGACATATAGTGGTACCTTGGTATTCAACTCATCAAATTTGTATTCAATGTATTTTAATGTGAAAAATTGTTCCGATACTCAGCACACAAGCTAGAACTTCAATAGAGCATCAGCTGCCTTGTCACTCACTACATTATTCCTTATGGGAAAAATTTGTTCGATATTCATCATTTTTGGTACACATTGTGCCTCCCGGAACCAAGTACCAACGAGTACTGAGGTACCACTATATGTATTTTTATTGTTTGATTTGATTTGATTGGTATACAATTCAACACCCAGAGATTCTGTTATATGATGTCATGTTCCTGTATAGTGTGTGTGTGTGTGTGTGTGTGTGAGAGAGAGAGAGAGAGAGAGAGAGAGTGTCATGGAAAAACCTATACAGTATGTTATGGCATAATATATATATCTCAGCTCTGATGGCCTAAGGCAGTGGTGGCGAACCTATGGCATGGGTGCCAGAGGCGGCACTCAGAGCCCTCTCTGTGGGCACGCGCGCTGTTGCCCCAGCCCTGCCTTCCCCCATAGCCCCTCCTCACCAGCAGCCCCCCTGGAGAGTCACCCCTGGGCGCGGCCTGGGTGGAGCAATGCAGCTAAGAACATGGCAGCCAGGCAGCAGGGACAAGACTCCGCTTTTGCGCCCCAACACATGCAGATGATGCTGCTGGGTGCGGGTGGAGGGCATGGCTGCCATGGCACTACAGGGCCTCCTGGGCGATCTGCACCGGGCCATGGAGGTGGTGGATGACCCTGTGAGTGGGCAGAACAGGGGGCAGAGTGGGGGTAGAGCAGGGGCAGGCAGCCGAGCAGGCGGGCAGGCCAGGGGGCGAGGCGGGTTTTGGGCACTCAGTCTCTAAAAGGTTTACCATCACTGGCCTAAGGGAAATGGACAGTATATACTTTTTCAGTGGATTTGTGGCGTATACTTTTGAGTTTTACACACGAGTGTACAGCAGTATAACGCCCTGAATTCCTCAGCCAGCAGAGAGATGAACTCTATCTGTCTTAAAGTTGCCAAGGTTGAGAGACACTGTACAGTAAAAACTAACCAATTTATGATCTCACCAATGTTTGTGGGAAGGCAGATCATTCTATATGGTTATTACAGAAATACACGGAGGTACCCAGGTAAGAGAACTCAGTTCAGAGCATAGGTATCTACTAGTCCAACAATGTGCACTGATGATAGAAGCTCCAATCCTTGTGTGCAACCTTATAACACAAATATCAGTGAGCAGAACTTGTATCACAACCTCGTGAAACATTTCACACATTCACCTTCATGGTTAGGAATGACCCCGATGATGGAAGTCCATCCTTGTCATGATCTTTATAGACCATGCCTTGTAGGAACATAATCCATGCATCAGACTGTCTCTTTGATCAGCTTTATTACATTTCCAAATATATAGAATGGAAGCTTTTAAATGAAGAGAGCTAGTTTAGTCTACTGGTTAAGACACTCAGCTAGAAACTAGAAGTTAGTGAGTTCTAGTCCCGCCTTAGGCATAAAAACCAGCTGGGTGATTTAGGGCTGGTCGCTCTCTCTCAGCCCAACCCATTTCACAGGAGGAAATAATACTCTTATAAGGTATGTTTGCTGCCTTGCGTTATTAATATAGATGGGGTTTTTTAAAAAAAAAAAGTTTTAAAAAATGCCCTGATTTGTTTTTCAGGGATTACTATATAACCATGGTGAAGTGGGCAACCAGCACCAAGATTGCAGTCAACTGGCTAAATAGAGCACAGAACTTTTCCATTCTGACTCTCTGTGACGCAACCACAGGCGTCTGCACAAAGGTATATATATATATATATATTTGCATAATTTTTTTCAGTGGATGAAGACTGCTTTTTTGTTTTAAATCCCAAGATGATTGAGCATACAATCAATCAATCAAATAAATAAATAAGCAAAATCCTCTACTAGCATATGAACAATTCCTTTTTCTATGGTTAGTTTTCATTTTTCAAGTCTGAAAATGGAATATCACAGAATATACATAACACTGGAAAAATATATAATCAATTTTGACTGTCATTCTATCCATAGAGATTGTTTTTTTCCACCTTTAAGGTGCATCATGCAATTTTGCAGCTGCTTTTGTTTCGGGCATATTACATCATACAGGTTTTTTGTTTTAAAGTATAGGTAGTCTTTGACTTATGTCCAGTGACTTATCTACTGTTCAAAGTTATGCTGGACCTATCTGGGAACTACATATGCTTTGTATTTGATGTTACGATGCTTGGTCCCTCCCCTCTGCAATCATATGATCAAATTTTAGGTGCTCAGCAACTGAACTGTATTTATGGTCATTTGCAGCATCCCACAGTCACACAACCAAATTTTACTATGGTTTTGCTGAAAACCAGCTTTTACTCCCAGTCTTCATCAAAACCCCATCCATAGCAAACCATGTGTTTAGTTAACAGTTAATGAATGTGTTGGCCTCTTTACAACTGCAGTGTTCGCTTAACAACCACCATAAAAGGGTCATAAAATCATTTTATGACCAGCATAACTTATGTGTGATGGGGAAGCTCCATTATGTAAGTCATGAACTACCTCTACTTTTTTGTTACCTGCATTCTGCTCTAAAGGATATATGTGAGATTTAGGAAGGAGCCATTCCATGAAAAATATGTGTGTACCTTTCAATTCATCACCAGCAAGATAAGCTTATCTCTGTTTTAATGTGTCTTTTCCAGTGTTTGGATTAAGTATTGTTATTTATATTACATGGCAGACCTCTGCCATTGCAGTGATAGAATATAGGAATTAACCTGCTGTTGCTTTGATCCTTCACCACATGGTGCAATTCTGCTGGACATATTTTCAGAAATAGTTTGCCTTTGTCTTCTTCCTCTCTTCTTCCTGAGAGAAGGGACTGGCCCAAGACCACCCACCTGATTTCATACTCCTCCTCCAATGTCATTCACTACTGCACCAAGTTAGCTCTTTTCTGAAATAGGATTGGGACAGATTTCAGATTGGACAAAATTCAGATCTGAAGCTGTTAGTACAGCTTCTACTCCATAAAATCACTGTCTGTCGGTCTGCCTGTTTCTCTAATTTCTCCCTCAAGAAGACACCCTGGATGAGAAAAAAAACCCACAGAAGCTACCGGTTTAAGCATCTCCTGAAGACCACCCGGAAACTTATATTGGTCCAAAATGTAGCACTGGATTGGTTTACCCATGTTGTGTGAGTGGCACTGGCTTCCAGTTTCTTTCTGGGGGAAATTCAAAGTGGTTGTCATCAACTTTAAAGCTCTAAATGGCACATTTCCAAATTATCTGCAGGACCTTATTTTTTTAAGAATACCCACCCATCCAACAGATCAAATAAGGTGGGCATGCTTCTAGTCTCTTCTAGTCTCTTGCCATTTAATGGGAGCTAGGAAGCCTGCCTTTTGCATGGCAGTCCCTGCCCTATGGAACACACTTACCCCCCCCTAATATTTGGCAGGCCCCTGCCCTCCTAGCCTTCTGCCAAGCCTTAAAGACCCAGACCCAGTTCTCCCCCCACTCCAGGCACTGGGATAAAGTGAGGCGACTGCATGTCAGAAGATAGACTTAGCACCAAGTTTTGGTTTTATGGTTTTTATTTATTTTATTTATTTATTTTAAAAAAGTATATTACCGCCTACTTGCACATGGCAACTCAAGGCAGCTTATACAGATATAAAAACACCATATAAAAGGAATAAAAATAATAATAAGAAAAATAATAAAATAATAACCCCCCCCCACACACACACACCCTGTTGACAACACACATTCCAACTAGCCATTAAATGGGCTCCATCCCGCTCTGGGTTCCCCAGGCCTGCTGGCAGAACCAAGTCTTCAGCGCCTTCCGAAAGAGTGCTAGAGTGGGGGGGGGGGAAAATGATGCGGGGATGATGTTCCAGAGAGAGGGAGCCACCACGGAGAAGGCCCTTCTAGGCCCCCCAAGATGTATCTCCTTAGGGGATGGGACCAACAACGTTCCTTGCCTCCCTGGTCTAGTGGGTCAGGTAGATGTGACCGGCAAGAGACGGTCCCTCAGATAACCTGACCCCAAGCCATGAAGGGCCTTAAAGGTGGCAACCAGCTCCTAGAATTGCACCCGGAAGCAAACTGGCAACCAATGCAGCTCCCACAGGAGAGACGATACGTGTGCATACTGAGGTCTGCACAAAACCATGCGGGCTGCTGCATTTTGCACCATTTATGCATTTTAGCTTTTGCTGCATTTATGTTATTTTAGCTTTGGGTTGGAAGCTGTCCTGGGTTTGTTATAAGGTAGGTGGCTATGTAAATGTTTTAAACAAATAAATATCTTCATAGATAACTGCTGAGCTGTAAATGCATTCACTTGTTTAACTAGGGAGCAGCACTAGTTTAACAAGAGTCAAAACCAAGAATAGTTCTATCGTTTGTGTTGCCTTTTCTTAAAGCCTGTTCAGAGGCTTCATCTCTTTTTGCTCATTTACTGTTGGATTTGCTTTCTGCACTGATGAGCAAAATGTAATAAATAAAAAGTATACTTTAATTATGTGTCTTCGTTTCAGAAACATGAGGATGAGAGCACAGCCTGGCTGCATCGACAGGTAATAGTAGTTTTTTTAAAATGGGATCGGTGTTCTTTTACTTTGCAAAAGAAAAAAGTATTTTCAACAATAGAAATGTTCTACTATTTTCATTACAAGAAGGATTATATTTATACAGACATGAAGATTTAAGAGAGACAAACTTACATATCGTTTCAGATTAATTGTGGTTTGAGGGCATTTTTATTTCATTAATTTTATTTCATTCTGTAAAGAGGACTATAAAGGTTTGAAAACAGTCACAGACCTTTCAGATGTTAAGCAAACTAGTTTCAGAGCAATCTCGGTTCCAAATACACAATTTGAAAATTGATCTCAACTACTGTGATAGGATGTTATGATTGGTTCTAATGGAGACTTTTCTCTAGAAATCTCTGCATCCCTTTTATTATCTAGCATTAGAGCTGGAAAAAATGCTTTGATGTACTTTCCACTTATATTTTCAAAATTCATAAAATCTCTTTGATAACATATATTCTATAAACCTGAATCAAATATGAATGCAGTGCTTAGACACACACAAACACACAGGCCTCTGAGTCAGTTTTTGACTTCTGGTGGCTGTCTGGGAAAATTCTTGCAGTTTTCCTGGAAACATTTTGGAAGTAGTTTGCCATTGCCTCTTTCCACTAGTTGTTCCTGACCTGAAAGGGTTGACATTCATCTTGAAGACACCCTTATCTCTGAACTAGTGTGGGAATGATGAAACATAGGATCAGCAGCCCAAGCTACAACTCACACATTCATTTTTCTGACATCTTGAATGCCAGAGAAAAATTACTGCATGTGTTTGGATTTTGCAAAGAAGGTGGAAGAGCAACTTCTAAAACATAAACAAATTTGGTCCAGTTATTACAGCTTAGCACACAATCGTGGCAGAAATGAAGGATGAAACTATAAGCTCCTTTAAAATAGATATGAGATGCCTTCTGGCTATTTCTGTGTAGATCTGTGTATGTGTGTCTGAAGCTTTTTAAAAACTTGGCCGGAAGAAAACATCTTTGAAGATCAAGATGCTTCAGGTGCCCTCAAATCTCTTCAGGGCTCCTTCCTTTGATAAGGGGTCCTACTAAAATCAAAAAGAAAACCAGATTTATTTTATTAATGAGCAGCTAGAGCAGGATCCTTAGATATCCTGATGCATAGTGATTTAGTTCAGCTTGTGCACATTCTCGAAAGAGACAGACAGAATGAGAAACTGGCTCTGCTGCACTTAATATGACTCTCTTTCTCTTTCTCTCTCTCTCTCTTTCTCTCTCCAACCTCCTTTACATCATCTTTATAAACTACATTTGCACCTTCTCGTTATTTTGCAGAATGAAGAGCCCATTTTCTCCAAAGATGGCAAGAAGTTCTTTTTTGTCCGAGCCATTCCTCAGGGGGGACGAGGAGAGTTCTACCATATTGCCATGTCATCATCTCAGGTGAGACTACCTTTATTTAGCTGGTGAGTGAGATGAAGATAAATATGCATAGTTCTTACGACAAGGAAGATGGCTGCCGCCAAATCAAAATGCCCTCTGTCCAAGTCAGCAATGTCTGAATATGAACCAAGGTTTTATGGAAAGAAACCTGGTTTGTTATTGGTAGAAGATGATGACATTGATGACCAGGTATTTGCAGGTAGTGCTCACTTAGGGACCATTTGAAGCTATAACCCACCCCAAAAATCTACTTAGGATGCAGATTTGAAGGTCCAAATACCATCCCTCTCTGTCACCCACAATCATGTGATTGCATTTTGGGTGACTGGCAAGTGACCCACATTTATGGCCAGAGTTGCCAGCATTTACTTCCAGTTTTCGACAAAAACACGCCTATTGCAATTAATGGGTTCAATTCACCACCACCAAAAAATATCATGAAATCAGATCAGACGTGATGACCCGCTTAAGAACCAGCATCATTTATGACCTCTTAATAAATCAGCGAACATGCCTTTCTCCTCCTATTTTCCCCCACAACAACACAACCCTGTAAGGTGGGTTGGGCTGAGAGAGAGGAGGTCAGCCAGTTGGCTTTCATGCCCAAGTCAGGACTAGAACTGTGAGCTTCTTGGACGAGATAAAAATACAACAAATGCCAAACTAAAATAGATACATTATTATGATTAGATTTCACCTGATTTTAGCCACTCTGGGAGAAAAATGAGGACAAATGTAAATTGTTCCCATTTTAATAGAATTTACTATTCACACTTCTGGAACCCATGTAGAAACTGTAATATAATTATTTCTACTTCCTCTGACTTTTGCAGTGCAATCCACCAATTATTAATATATTCAAAAATATCGATGTAAATAGCAATAGCATTTAGACTTATATACCACTTCATAGTGCTTTACAGAACTCCCTGAGTGGTTTACAAGTATTAGCGTATTGCTCCCCACAGTCTAGCTCTTCATTTTACCAACCTTGGAAGGATAGAAGGCTGAGTCAACCTTGAGCCATTCACAATCAAACTCTTGGCAGTGGGCAGAGTTTGCCTGTAATACTGCACTTTAGCCACTGTGTCATCACAGCTCTTAAAGATGCATAACAGCCAGGGGTCTATTAGAGTTTAATGTATCAAAAATTAGTAATTGGTTGATGGTCCTCTGAACTTATCAAATCAGACTCAAGTATTCTCTCTTTTTTGGAAAATGAATTTGGGGCACAGATGGAGGAAAAAGTGAATTTAGTGCCTTCCTGCTATTTAAGTATTATTTCTAGGTGTTGAGAAAGTTGTCAGGGTCCAGGAAAATCTGCTTTAGTTTTTACAATAGGGTTGCTGTTCAGATATTTCCATGAGCTTATACAGGTAGTCCTCAATTTATGGCCAGTTGTTAAGTGACCATTCAAAATTACAACTAACTCCAAAATGGGAACTTGCAACCCAGATTCAAAACTCTGACAATCTGATCTACAGGATTACCTCTTCCTTGCAAAAATCCCTTGTAAAATTCAATCTTTGGAACACGTTGTATCCAAAATTGTAGATATGGAGAAAAGGCAGCAATGACAACCTGACAAGTTCTTCTTTCTGTCCTCCACATGAAAAGACCTCAGTACAGATAGTCCTCCCTTAATGACCAGTTTTACAGCTTGAAAAGCATTGTTGGTCATCATATATGGTCATGCTATCACCTGCCTGCAGTCATGTGAGTTAGCTTTATCACCCATTAGGGTGTTCTGGAGACACATTTGTAATGTTTTTTTGCTGGTTTCTGCCAAAAAACCCAGCCATGAATGGTTTGTGTAACGACTCTTGCATTCATTCAACGATCACAGCATTTGCTTAATCACTACTACAAAAAAAGCCAGAAATTTACTTCCGGTCATGTGGGCACCTCAACTTACAATTTTAGCAAATTACAACCATAATTTTGGGCTTAATTACAGTTGTAATTCAAGGACTACCCACAGTACTTTTTTTCTCCCTTTGCTTCCCTTTTCTCCCTTAATGAAAAGAAGAATGAGGGGGGACATGATAGCAGTGTTCCAATATCTCAGGGGCTGCCACAAAGAAGAGGGAGTCAAGCTAATCTCCAAAGCACCTGAAGGCAGGACAAGAAGCAACGGATGGAAACTAGTAATCAAGGAGAGAAGCAACCTAGAACTAAGGAGAAACTTCCTGACAGTTAGAACAATTAACCAGTGGAACCACCTGCCTCCAGAAGTGGTGAATTCTCCAATACTGGAAGTTTTTAAGAAGAGACTGGACAGCCATTTGTCTGAAATGGTGTAGGGTTCCTGCCTGAGCAGGGGGTTGGACTAGATGACCTTTAAGTTCCTTTCCAGCTCTATTATTCTGTTATTCTGCTCTTGAGTAAGGAATATGTTTATTTCGGGCATAAATTCAAGCCCCTTTTTTACATGGCATTTATGTTTTAAGACTGTAAAGAAAAGGAGGAGCATAATGCTATTTTTCAGACTGTGGTAGAGAATTTCAGAGAATATGTTTGAAAAAAAGGTGAGTCTGATTTTTACTGATAAGGGGTTTTGCTAAATCTTTCTGAAGTTCTTTTTTTCTTCTTTTTCTTGGCAGCCCAATAGCAGCAATGATAATTTACAATCTATTACATCGGGTGACTGGGATGTGACCAAAATTTTGGGCTATGATGAGAAGCAGCATAAAATGTAAGTAATTTTTTTTAAAGTAAAGGAAGCTGATCTAATTTGAGATTTACATAGGATAGCCTGATCAGTGGAAAGCATCTGTGGCCTGCTGGAAGCCAAAAAATGTGTATCGGTTTTACTTTGGTTGAGATGAAAGTCCCAATCTGTGAAATAATAACAGATTGTTATGAAGTCCCTCCTGCTGTCATAGGGCCATTGAAGCAATTTCTGCTGCATATGAAATGGGAAGATCTGGCTTGGCAGTAGTGGACCAGCAGCCGAACGTGAGCAAACAGTGTGATGCAGCAGCTGAACAGGCCAATGCAATCTTGGGTTTCATTAACACAAGCATTGCATTCAATTTATGGAGTTAATTCCATCCTGGAATTCAACCCCTTTGAGGAATAATTTGAGGAATGAGGCAAGTTTACATTACAAAAGCATTTGAACAAGATCAATTAGCTATACAGTTATCCTTACATAAGACTATCATAGTAAAAGGGTCAGATCGATTCCCTGCTTTGGGACAAGCTAAGACCCATAAGTTGAATTAAAAGAGGAAGATCCAGACCGAAGCTGAGGAGGAATTTTGTGATATCAATAAATATTATTTGCTGTAGATTTTTAAATGGTGACTGGAGGACCTCTTGTCCTAAATGGCTAAGCAGATTTCTGGATTGAACAGGAGGTTGGATTGTATGACCTCTGGGTTCCCTTGCAACACATGCATTCTTTGATTCTATGACATTTCAGATAAAAGAAGCACTTTGGATATATCTTGCTATTATTATTATTATTTGTCCTTTGATTTTTGGGTCGAACTGATCCGATTGTCAGAAAAGAAAATTTAATGAATTTCCAGGATTTTTTTTTTAAAAGTAGTATTAAAATGCATTGAATGATATAACTCTTTGTGTCTGAAATATCTTAATTTGGGGAGAAGAATGAGAACTGTTAAAGAGGATTCATTGCTGAACTGTCAGTCTTGTTATAGCAGTAGTTTAAATCAGTACAATGGAAATGTTATTTTTCTATTGCTTTGATCAACATTGACATTCTGTGTCAGTTTCATCCGACAGCTGGAAAGCCGTGACTAATTTGGAAAGCATAATTGCACGTGACTATATTTAATTGCTTGATTTCCATGTTATTTTGACAAATGTGTTCAAATATAGTTCATGAACATGTGGCCCTCAAATGTGAAACAGCTATATCCAACTACAGTTTTAGCCAGAAAAGTATGAACAAGAATTTCTGATTACTTTTCAACCATCAATATAGACCAGGGGTGTCAAACTGAATTTCATTGAGGGCGGCATCAGCATTGTGGTTGCCCTGGGGGGGGGAAGGTGGGTGTGGCCAGAGTGGGTGCAGCCTACTGGGGGGGCGTGGATGGAGTGGGTGTGGCCTACTGGGTGGGCAAGGCCAGTTCTACATCATTTGCGTCAAGGATGCCTGTGGGGACTTGGGCAGGAGTGGGTCTCTGGCAGAAGGGGGTGGGACCAGGGCAAGTGCCAAGGCATGGTCCACCAGGGCAAGTGCCAAGATGGTCACCACAAAATTGTACATTGGCTCCCGGCTGGCCTGGGCCAGGGCCAAGGCAGCAGGGGCCGTTCCCTCACTGTTTCCAGGATGGTTTCACGGGCCACATGAAACCACTTTGCGGGCCGCATCCAGCCCCCGGGCCTTGTGTTTGACATGTCTGATATAGACCGTAATTAATAAAATATAGAGAAATCAGTAGTACAATTTGGTGGTATGCTAGAAAATGGAGGATTGGTCGCCAGATAGGTTCAGTAAGAATAAAACAGCAAATTTTAATGATGCTGTAGTTTAATCAATGCAGGCAGCCCTTGATTTACGGCCAAGAATGGGACTAGCAAGGAAGTTGATAACCACATAAATTATGCTACAGTTGTTAAGTGAATCATGCAGTTGTTACATTGCATGCAGTGAACCTGGCTTCCCCCATTGCTTTCCTTGTGAGAAGCCAGCTGGGAAGGTCACAAATGGTGATCACATGACCTCGGGACACTGCAACCGTCACAAATACATGCCAGTTGCCAAGTGCCTGAATTCTGATCATGTGACCACGGGGCTGCTGTGATGGTTATAAGTGCAAGGATTGGTCATAAGTCACTTTTTAAAATGCCATTGTAACATTGAACAATCACTATATAAGTAGTCATAAGTTGAAGACTACCTGTATCTACACTTTTTCTATTGTTTTTATTGTCATATGAACCACTAGAGCTATGGAAGTATATTTAATAAGCAAACAATAGAGTTACAATTGTCAACCTGTTAGCTAGTTTCATATAGTGAAACAGTATTTTATATACACCCTGCATCATTGATTGGGCCCCACTTATATCTCCAGATTGTCCCCACTTCTGCAACTGAAAGCTGAATACACATTTATATGCACTAGAAAAAAATAATTATACAACAGGAGACAGAAATGAATATTTGGGAAGGACTGGGAAAGAACTTGAATATTCACAGAGCACAGTGAAGAAGGGGGGAACCTAAACCACCCACTTATTTTTTTTCAAACTCCCAGCCATGAAGACTAGAGACTTGTCTAAGAAAAAACAACCTGGAATCTAGATTTTATCAAGAAACAAACACTTTGGAAAATGTTTCTGGCATGTCAGAAACTTTTGGCCAGACATTTTTCACTTTTGTTTTAAAGGAAATCTATGCTTAGGGAACTCACACCAGTGAAATGTTGCTCCTAAAAGCCTAATTATGTGTATATATTTTATTTTAGCTATTTCCTCAGCACAGAAGAGTTGCCAAGGACTCGGCATTTATACAGGTATGATTAGTTTTATGCAAAGATAACTTTCTGATTATATTTGGGGAAAAGGCCACTTTTACACTTAATGTTGCTGTCAGCTTCCCAGCCTTTATTTTGCGGATATTATTATTTATCTGTCTTTGTCTTTGTGGTTTTTGTTTTTGTCTTTGTCTTCATCGTTGTTCTCTTCTTCCCTTTCTGTCCCTCTTGATATTTATTTATTTATTTACTTTTGAGGAGGGGAGGAAACAAACATCCCAACACAAAATATTTTAAACAGGGCCAAATGCATTTTAAAGATAAACAAAATAGCAAGACCCTTCCCATTTATCCGCTATCTTTAGGATGACATCACCTCCCAAATGACTGGTGTCTGCAGCGCCATAGGCAGATGAGCTATTGCCAATAACACAGTTCTTGTTTCACATGCTTCATTATGCGGAAAAGGTTATGCTTGTCTGTCATCCTCTCAGAGGGCAGGTGCTGCAGAAGTCCTTCCTAAAAGGTCTGCATATTCCACATGTAAACCATCCAGGGCTCCCTGGTGGATGCATCAGTCAGGATTCAGTGCTTGGATGTGCACCAAGAAGGCAATTTCAAACAAAGCTCTTGGATTTCCCATTGTTTTAATCAGATTCTTGATGCAGAATGATATTATTGTTGCAGGATCCAATCTGGATCAGTCACTGGGACCTTTAGTCTTCTGAGCTTTCGGACTCCTGCTAGAGCCCATCCTCAGGGGACTTCTCTCTCTAACTTCTCTTAGAGAGAAGCTCCCTTAGGGTGGGCTGCAACATGAGTCCAAAAACTCGGAAGACTAAACCTCTGGTCCCAGTGATTGATCCAGATTGGATCCTGCAACATTATCTTGCGACATGTATGTTTGCCTTCATTTGTGATATTCTTGTTATTATCAGCCCAGATCAATCCACTGTAGGATGAAAGTCTTTTCACTGAATGTTTTGAACCGTCATCTAACACTCTGGTCCAATGCAAGTTGGTTGATAGCCCTTTTTATGACATCACAATCAAGAGTCAACCTTTGTGCTTAAGGGAGGACTAGAATTTGGGTCTCCAAACTCCTAATCCAGCACATTATCCACTACACTCGTCTTTTCCAGTCTTTGTAACTTTCGGATAGAAAGACCTCAAATTCCAGAATTTCTGAATTCTATGAGTTGAAGTCCATATTTCTGAATGTTGCCAAGACTGAAAAACACTGCACTACACCAAACTGTTTTTTTCACCCTTGATATGTAATTATGTCGTTTGCCTTCAGTACTTGCCTGCTGTCAGTTTAGACTTAGCTTTTAATCGTAATCCCATTCCTTAAAAAAAACAAACCAATTTGTTCTGTTTAGGCCTAAACCTTTTAAAAGCCTCTATCTCCTCAGTGTTCTAGGTCAGTTCCTAGGTTGATGGCTGGCTGGGGAATTTGGAGGAGTTGAAGTCCACACATCTTAAAATTGACAAGGTTGAAAAATACCGTTGTAGGTCATTGCAGCTAATTTGTTCCCATTTCATGTAGCCAGTTTGGTCTAGCAGTTAAGGCATCAGACTAGAAACCAGAAGACTGTGAGTTCTAACTCCACTTTAGGCATGAAAGTCAGATTGATGACTTTGGGGCAATCACCAGGAGATGGTGAGTTTTAGTCAGGTTAGGCAGGAAAGGCAGCTGGGTGACTTTAGGCCGATCACCTGGAGATGGTGAGTTCTAGTCCCGCCTTAGTCATGAAAGTCAGCTGGGTGACTTTGGGCCAGTCCCTTTATCTCAGCCTAATCCACCTCACAGGGTTGTTATTGTGGGGAAAACAGAGGAGGAAGGAGCATTAGGTATGTTCACTGCCTTGAGTTACTGATAAAGTAATAAAGGCAGAATAAAAATATAATGAATGAATCTAACCATGATGAATACATAGAAATTGCCTTGCATTTTGAGAGATTATTCATCTACCTGCCCTCCTATCTACTTATCTAGCTTAGTCTCCCTCACCCTTTGAAATATATGGGGCTGTAACCTCCCAGAATTCCCAGTCTATGTGGGTTGCAACTCATCTGGATGGAATCAGATTGGGGAAGAGTGACTTTGAGGCAGAGATCACCTTGGGGTCTAGATCAAACATTAATAAATACTCCAGCCTGTTTTGCTTTTTGACAATTAAATCTCTCTTTGTTTTTCATTGTTTGTTACAGTGCCAGCACTAAGGGGAACTTCAACCGGCAATGTCTCTCTTGTGATTTGATTAACAACTGCACTTACTTCTGTGCAACTTTCAGCCACAACATGGCATATTTCTTGTTGACCTGTGAAGGTAGGCTTTATAAATAATCACCAAGTTATTTCAGGCCTTCCATAAAAAAGATTGATGCCACACAAAGAGCAGGTTCATCCAGAAGGTGTTGGGAAAGAAATGGAATGCAAATGAATATAGAATATTTTAAGAGCATTTACCAGATACTCAACTTAGAACCATTTACCTCTTACCAGATAAGTCCTCAACTTAGAACCATTAGTGATCATTCAAAATGACAACAGCACTGAAAAAGTCATCTAATTTATTATTTATTCATTTATATTCTGCCTTTATTATTTTTACAAATAAGGTGGCGAACATATTCAACACGCCTTTCTCCTCCTGTTTTCCCCACAACAATCCTGTGAGGTGGGTTGGTCCAAGGTCACTCATCTGGCTTTCATGGCTAAGGCAGGACACTTACAGCTTTTTGTTTTGTTTGTACTATATTTTTGAAAAAAAATTCAAGAATGCTGTGATGACACCCATCAAAAATGGCCAGGATTTCAATTGCATCTTGAGGTTTTTGACCCAGCTCCCTGCAGCTACACCTGAACTACAAAGCTATGGAAGTTGGCAGGGGTGTGTCTGTGCCAATACTTTCAAAGCTCATAAAACACCATTCAGGATTTTTTAAAAAAAGAAATCTGTGATCACCAGCAAATGCCAGAAACATTTGTCTCTGTTATTGACTCAGAGAATATTACTGGCAACACACAGCTTTTAATTACAGTCAGGGATTGAAAAGTGCTCCTGGCGTCTTTGTTTATTAGTATGATAATACGGCCTTGGTATATGAGATTTCAATGCATTACAGTGATCCATAATTCATGGTCTAGCAAATAAAGAGATCCCGGAAGCCATATGCTGGGGTGGGAGGGGAGGGGGGCCGCAGGGAGGGAAGATCTGCCTCTGCCAATTAGCCCCTTTGTAGCATCCAGGGGCTTTGTGTGATCTCCATATCTCCAGCTGATCTTTTAAATCATTCATCATTGCTGGAAAGGTACCACGATAGAGGCTGTAGACCATTTTCATGGTTGGTTGTGTAGGAAAAGATTTGCTTGTCTGAAATGTTCTGAAGATATTTGAAGAAGAGGGAATATTTTTTCCCTCTTAACCATTAAAAAAGGAAAAACAAATTTACTTTCTTTTCACCTTTTTAAAAAACCTTTCTCACATTTTTATGTTTCTTGGTAGTTATCCCAGAATACTGATTGCTCATTATCATGATTTCTGTCAGCTTTATTTTATTTTATTATTTTTTTAAAATTTGTATGCCGCCCATCTCACCATCAAGCGACTCTGTTATTAACTTTTATTTTTTTTAAAAAAACATAGGCAGGCATCACACAGTGTTTTGGAAAGGCAAAACAGGATTTTCCCAAAACATGTGGCACTTTTAATTATTTCCTTTGGCCCCAGATGTGTTAAGATTTTGTTAGTTTCATCATGAATGGCTGGAAAATAGCATTTCTTTCAAACAGCATTGTTGCAATGTGATCATTATGTAACTAAGGGAAAAGTAGTAGGGAAAGAAAGTCTTAGCTAATAAAATAATTTTAATACTATTTCTAACTATTAATCAGTCTTTTAGTTGATGAAACAAATTCAATCTACCTTTTTTTTTTTCAATTCCCTGAGCAATTGCATGCCTCAATAGAAAAAACTGTCATTTTCTGTGTTCTCATAGATTTTCTTTTCTACCAACATCAAAGGAAATATCACTGCGGGTACATTTGCACCTATATTAAAATATGGGGATCTGGGAAGAAAGTCAATCATTGAATCATGGAGAGAGAGAAAATATTATTGATTGCAAGGTTACATTCATCTGGAAGTAACATACATGTGTACACACAAAAGCATTGTGTATTCCCAATGTTAAGAGGTGTTGAATTTGACTTTTGCTCGGGAACCATAAATACATGAATGTTTGCAAGGAAAATGTTTTGCAATGTAGTGGAACAATATCTCAGAAGGGCTGTGTTCACACCAGATGAATTAATTTAATTAGTGTAAAGCTTCCTTAATGGGGGTTTTTTTCTGGCTTTCCCTCAGTTTAACATAATGGACTGTTCAAAAGCAGAAAACAGGTTGTGGGATGAAAACAGCTGTATTAATGCACGATAAATAAAGAAAATGCAGTCTATAGATCTCAGGGGAACATGCAAATGCCTTTAGAAAGATTGGTATAGAATAACCTATAACAGTTTACTCAGATTTTTTTCTGGAATAACACCTATTTTTAATCATGTAACACTCCTCTGCCAACTTAGGAAGAAAACAAGTTGGTGATCTTTGGAAAACATTTATTTTTCCAGACTCAAAGTTTCCTCCCTCCCCTTCCCTCTTTCTATCTCTTGTTAGAAGACTCCAAAATTCCTTTTACTTCTCAGCAACTTTGATGGAGAAAAATGACATTTCCCATTTATCTTAACTGAAACCTGGATACCCGGATTCTATATTCTATATTCTGGATATCCAGAATCTTTATTGCTCATCTGTACCTCTCAGGTTCAGTTCAAAATAAAGATGGTGGCCTTTGAAATACTCTGAGATTAAGGCACTTTGATTTTAGGACGCTGCCAGGGATAACTGCAGGAAGGAATTTTTAAAAAAAGTCCACAGCCACCACAACTGCACCATCAAGCTCAAATCATTTTTATATACGTCCTCCAATGAATTTAAAAAGAGGTGATACGGGTAGTTTTTTACTTATGGCCACGATTGGGACCAGAATTTCCATTCTTAAGGAAGGTGGTTGTTAACTGAGTTGTGTCTGTCTTAATGACCTTTTGCCCTATCTGTTAAGTGAATCACACTGTCGTTAAGTGAATTCGGCTTCCCCCATTAACTCTCTTTGTTGGAAGCTGGCTGAGAAGATTGCAAATGGCAATCATATGATCCCAGGACACTGCAGCCATTGCAAATACATGCAAGTGTGCCAAGGTAGCTGTGTCTATATTGAGCTGCCTTGCTTTGCATTATTCATTGTTTTTAATTAAAGAACATTAAAAAAATAAAACAGAGAGGGCAAAGCAACATGGCATGGGCAAGTAACATGTTGAGCTTTAGATCCAAATAAGTGTTCTTATACAGCTGGCCACACAATTACAGGTAGTCTCAACTATAATTGTGAAACTAGCTGCCATTATAATTCGTGATGGGAGCTTGCCTATGGTCATAATGGCAGTCATAAAAAAAAAATCCATGGCAGTTGTTAAGCCAAACACTGTGGTTGTAAAACAAACACCATGGTCCTTAAGGGAACCAGTAGTTTGCTAAGAATGCCATTTTACTGAAAACTGGAAGTAAATGCCAATTTTTAGCAAAACTCTTCATGAAATGTGGTCACTTGACTATGGGACACTACAAGCAACTATAAATACATTCTGAGTACTGAATGCTCAAGGTTTGATCACCTGACCACAGGGGACAATTGTCTGGGTTATACGTAAATAATCCCCTGGCAAATCCTTCATAATTTTGAATGGTCGCAAAGCGGCCAGTCGTAAGTGGACGACTTACCTGTCGGTAATTCAGAACTATACATTCCCTTCCTTTGACCACAAAGATTTCTTCCTTATTTTCTTTTCATGTGCTACTGTAGGAGTATATGTATCAATTGCAATCCTCAGGGTTGGAAGGCACATTTGGAATTTTCAAACATCTAGATGCCCTGGGTGACTTTAGCTGACCCATTGACCAGATGGCTGTAATACGTACAGGGCCATCTGGATTGCTTCAAACATACTGTCCTGTTTTGGTTTCCGAATCACTTTATTTTTTTGAAGCAGGGTGGATACATTTCAGATTTTGGTGTCTAGGAGATTGTATTTTTTTTTAAAAAAGAAGAACAACATCACTATAGACAAAGCTGGCAGGAAGCAATGCTTAAAGATCAGTTAATAACCTGCTAGAAATGCTTGCATTCTTAGAGCTTTACTTTCTCCTTCACACAATGCATTATCTGAGCAGTATAATCCTTTGTGTCATATACATAGTATGACATTAAAATAATCTAAAACAAATTCTTTTAATTGTGTTTGCACTAATTAAAATATTGACAAATTAGAGAAGATGAAGCTAGCCGGTGCTCCGCTGGGAGAGTCTGTCTATCTTCCATGTTTTTGGTTGGGGCCTATTAATTATCTTCGGGCAACTGGTTGCTTAAATCGGCTTTCCATGTAATAGGACAGGTATTTAACATCTAGCCCCGAATATCACTTTAGATGCATTTTCTTAAATCTAAAGGCATTTTCTTCCTTTTTTTTTTTGAAGGTCCACGAATTCCAATGGTAACTGTCCACAGAACATCCGATACAGAAAGTAAGTATTTGTAGGGGGCTTTTGAGATTGGGAGATCTTCGAAAGGGAAGACAACATACCCAGCAGAGAACAAAAACAGAGAGCTATCTCAAGTTCCAATGAGTAAAAAGCTAAAGAATATTTGTGGGTATTAGTTTTATTATGTGAGATAAACGTAGAGAAATTGGAGCGATAGAATCGCACAGCTGGTCTTTCCCTTGGGTAAAGAGACATGCTGGGTATCTGACGTCATGTTTAAAGGTTGAAAGCCAGCAACCTAGATGCATCTAAGAATATGAAAATGGGATGGGTCCAGGCTACCCCAAGGGACCATCTCATCCCAACGGGATTGGCCCACCCCATTTGCTCCTGCAGGAGGGGCATGCTGCAGAACCTGTCAATCAAGGAATTCCAGTTGGTGGGGTCCAGGAGAAGGGCCTTTTTTGCTGTGGCTCCTGTCCTCTGGAACATCGTATCCCTTGAGGCAGGAGTGGGCAATTAATTTTCCCAAGGGGCCACATGAGGAACTGGGACTGTTCTGAACCAATAGCTCTTGGCTGCACTCTGTTCATTCACCTGCAAGGCCACACTTTGACCAAAGCAGCAGTGGGTGGTTGAGCCTGGATCCCCTTGCGCAATGACCACCACTGATACTTCCTCAGGCTGCTCCAGGTGAGGAGTGGGTGCTGCACAGGAACAGAAAAGTGTTTCCTCTCCCCACCCTTCTGCGGCCACCAGCTGACTGAAGAAGCGCACAGTGACTGTGAAAAGCCATGACTCTGCTTCTTCTCCCCTCCCCTCCCCTCCCCTCCCCTCCACTGCACTTCCTCAAAAAAGGAAAAAAAATGGACCCAGGAAATTACAGACCTATCAGCCTGACCTCAATACCTGGGAAGATCCTGGAAAAGATAATCAAACAACGAATCAACAAACACCTAGAGGCAAACAAAGTCATTACTAAAAGCCAACATGGGTTTGTCAAAAATAGATCATGCCAGACAAATCTTATTGCATTCTTTGACCA